GACAAGGTCTTCCATATAAAGCTTCATAAGGTGCCATTTGAATACTAGATTGATAGTTGTTGTTGTAGGCGAATTCTACCAACACCAAATGATCTTCCCAACTTCCCCCAAAATCTAGTATACATGCTTTCAACATACCCTCTAAAATTTGAATGGTTCTCTCTGACTGTCCATCAGTTTGGGGATGAAAAGCAATACTAAAGTTTAGTTGTGTACCCAACACTTTCTGTAAAATTCCCCAAAATTTGGAAGTAAACTTGGGATCTCTATCTGAAACAATCAAAATAGGAATCCCATGTAATCTAGTATACATGCTTTCAACATACCCTCTTAGGATATATATATATATATATATATATAATTATTTTGATATGTGTTATATTTTCAGAAATTTTTCTCATTAAAAATAGTAATATTTATATGTTTTGTTTTAGACAGCTTTATCTCTTTGCTACTTTCTGACCAAGTTCAATAGCCTAGTTGTTATGTAAAACAAACTTTAGACTCCAAGTGTCATTATTCCTAGATGACTAAGCTCTATTTTGAGCATGAGGTGTTGGCACTCCAGTAACAACTATCTAAACTTGGAGCCAAACGTTATCAACTACCATACATTAGACCAATTGAAGGAAAGTAGTTGCCACCTATGTAGTACTATAAATAGGAACCTTTTCTTTGATTGTTTTCATGGCATGCGTGGTAGTACATGTAGATAGGTAGATGGATTGTCTTGCCAATTTATTTCAAGAGTTCTCATTATCGAGGTGAGTGGTTTATGTAATGTGTTCTAAAAGTTCTTATTTTGTGATAAAATATGAAACCATGAATTATCGTTGATTTGTTCTATTTACAAATATCTCTCTATTTCAAGTTAAGTATGTCTAATTTGTTGTAATCTTTCACACTATATATATATATATATATATATTGATTGGATTATTTATGAAGTATGTATTATTCATGGAACATGAGAACTTCAATGTTGGGGTATCTGAGGAATAGATGTACCATACGATGACATAGGGCAGTAAGGCCAATAGAGGTCACGTGGTTGGTTACATGCTATGAAGGATAACCGAGATATGAAGGGATGATGTGATATGATCTGGATTGGTGTATCTTTTTTAGAGTGTGTAAAACGGCATTGCTTCACTGGCATATTACATAATTTACTCACTGAGCGGTGGTTGCTCATCCCTCACCCTGTTTAATTTTCAGATGAATTAGTGGGCAAGACAAGGACTAAACCAGTTGAGGCTGAATTAGAGAGTATCAGAGCTTTATTTATTTCTTGTAAAGTTGTAAGATTTTGGAGCTATTTATATATCTATATATATATATATAAGAGAAGTTTATTTTAAACCATATTTCGACTTTCTTTTTATTTTCTCACGCACCATGCACGGGGTTTCCACCGACCCCCGAGGCCGGGGAGTGACACATGCCCTTCTCATATAGGATGGAGGTGCTGCGGCGGGTAATAATAAAGTCGTTTATATTCAATTTTTAATATGTCATTAATATTAATTTGTTTTTTCATACTAACAGTTTTCTTTTGTTCAATTCAGGGGGGTCTAAATTCCCGGAGATCGACGTCTTTGGCAACGTTTATGTTCAACCTGGGAATGAGTCCCTTCATGTAAGTATTCCTTAATTTTAATTATTATCTTACGCATTCAAGTTTCATGGTTATTATATGAATGTTTTAATTAATATTTTGTGTTATGTTAAACAGGCGACGATGATGAAGAGCCAGTTGGTTCTTCAGGAGTCCACCTCCCAGCTTCCTCCCGATACTCCGCTCAAGTCTGTGGATCCTTCACAGGATGCGGGGTTTCAGATCCTGACGAAGACCTTGGATCAGACTCTTGGGAGGAGACCAGGGACATATTGTCGAGGGATGGGGAATGCCCGGCGGCGGGAACCTAGAGCCCTTTCATCGTTGCAGTCAAACAATCAGGTGACTGCTTTGACAGCATAGGTGGCCGAGCTTAAGACCCAACTCGCCTCGTATAGTACCCAGATGTCACAGCTTCTAGAGTCCCTTGTTCGGTCCAGCATTCCAGTCCTGGATTTTGGTCCCTTGTCGACCTCAGAGCCCTTCCACCCCGAGCATGGCCACCACACCTCGGCCCCTGTCGACAATGTCCAGACCTCCAAGCCGCATTTGCAAGACGACCACGTAGATTTTGGAACATTTTTTTATTAGTTTTTTACTTTCTTAATTACATTTTAAACATTTCTCTTGTACTATATACATTTTTATTTTATTTTTATTTTTTAATTTCTCTTCATTACATTTTTTTTATTGCAATTTCATTTTATTACCACACACAAAAAAAAAATACCAAATTTAATTTTTTTTCAAAATAAAAAAATTTAAATTAAATTTAAATAAAATATATTTTATTTTTGCGCGACAAAACACTTCGGCTCATGAAAAGTCAAAGCAACTAAGATAATTTCGTCGCGCCAACCCATGTCGTCGCACAAAGGTTTGAGAGACGAACAGTGCTCTCGTCCCTACATTTCTGTGCGACGAAGGTAAACCGTCGCACTGTGTACTCGCGACGAATATGTTGTCATTGCGCACAGTTTTGAGAGACGAACTTTTGTGCGACGAAGGTTAGCCGTCGTTCTGGGTTTTCGGGACCAATTAAAAATTTTCGTCACGCAAAGTCTTTCTTCACTACCTTTAGGCGACTGATTCAGCGGGACGAAGTTTTTGTCGCGCTGAGGTTTGTGCGACTCAAATGTACTTTGCGTGACTAAATTTTCTCCGTCACGCAAATAGTAAAATGTAGTAGTAAGAGTCTGATAGCAGTGAGCAGTAGTTACTTGTATCTAGGGGTGTGTGGTACTCTTTTTCCTTGGCCAGATGTTTTCCAAGGAAGCTAGGGACTATTAGGTATAGAGGTTCGTGAAACCACAAAGAGTTTTTCACATAAAAGGAAAAGAACAGGATTTCAGGGGGGAAAAGAAAACTTGTCTATTTCTCATTATGTATAGTAGGGTTTTCTGAATTTACATTCGTCTTGTATAACCTTTACAAAAGAATAGCACATGTATATATAACCTACATAAGAATAATCTAGAATAAAGAATATGCCTATATTCCTACTTCATCCATATCCAATACATGCTGGCTTTGTCCTGGATGAGTCTTGGGTGTCTTGAGTGATTCATCGATTGTGTGACTGTCCTTTTCCTTTGCTGCAGCCTTGGGTGTCTTTGAGACTCTGTATTTTCTCCTCTATTAAAATGAGGGACAATATCTCATTACCTTTTGAATCCCCTCTTGGATAAATAAGTCCTCCTTCCATTGGGCTTCCAACAATGAAGGGACAACTACCTAAAACAAATGATTTTATCAATGGATTGATACTATCCGGCGAATCAAAATTTGCTGCATGACCTGTGTCCTTGATTCTCTCTAATTTTGATTTGGGACCTAAGTGCCTGGAAGCATAAACAAAGTTATATATAACAAGAATCTCCAAAGCATCTGAATTCACGCTCAACAGCTCAGCCTTCTGTTCATCAGTCCAAACTACCCCACTACTCACAATCACAACCTTCTCCACCATCTCTGGATACATCTCAGCATCCAATACGCCACTAACCCGCCATAGCTAAGACCGTAAACCAAAAACCAAAACCAGACCGGGTTTATTGAACCGCCTGTGGTTGGCTGTCCAGAAGTACATGGTGGTTTGGTCATCAATGTCAATGGTACACGGTGATAGGCCACATAGCCTGAAGTATAGTGCTACAAAAGTATCTGAAATTCTGAAGAACATTAAAATCCCAGTCTGTCTTGAACAAAACTGATATGAGGCAGTGGAAAATTGTTGATGTGGCTGAGAGGTAGTAGGAGAAGACATTCCAAAACTTTTGGTAACCCATGGAATTGATTTTTATTGTTGATGGTCTTGCTGTACTTTTTCCCTTGGTTTCTATTGCAATATTGTTTATTGAGTGTCTTCATAAACTAAGCTAATTTACACAAACTTACTAGAAGACCAACCAACATGTATTATATTTGAAAAAACCGAAATTGTTGACATGTGAGTCGAAATCAGTGTAGAGATCTCGTATTCTTCTTTTTTAAGAAACCCTTGTTTATTTACCAAAAGAAAACCAATTCTAAAGCATGCTTATATAAGTATTTTTGGGTTGAAAATGTGACATAGTTTGAAATCGACTAGAGAATGGAAAAACTTTTGTTTGACGTTTACTAGCTACCAAAATTTCGAGGTGGAATGGAGTGCAAATTCAATGCAATAAGATATATCCAATATCTGAAATTGACATGATATATTTTCCCAAGATAAGTATCAATATTAATAGTTGAATTGTCATCATGAGTATGATTCTATATAAGGTGTTTGCATGTCATGGACCTTTCCTCTTTCAAGTCAAGCACAACTCACGTACTTGAGGAATGAATTAAAGAATTATGCTAGCAACAGTGACCCACACGCGCATATGACTTCCAGCTTTTAAGAAGCCTATCAAGTTAAATGTGTTTTTCAACTTGAGATGATGCAGTGTGGTAGCCTGGGTGACATGAATGTTATAACTAAGATGTGTGATCGCTGGTCATGCACAGTGATTTCTAACCATAGATGCATATGGACGCATGAACCAACAACCCATACACGAACAATCCTAGCAATTTTCATCTTATAAATTGTTCAAAGAAAGTCCTTTAACCTGATCACAAGCACATCAATTTCGCTTATTGGTCATATCTCTATATGGTGTGACCATGTGAATCTAATCTACCTTTGTGTTTGCTTGTTTTGTTGTGTAGGAAGTGAGCGCACAAACAGCAATTTCTTGAGAAACAAAAGTTACATCAAGATTCGACCCAAAAAAAAGTTACATCAAGATTCAAGGCATGCCTGCTTCCAAAAGTTAGGCCATCTCACAGCTGTAGCTGCATAAATTAATCAAAGATGACCCATAAGCAAGCATAACCCTGTTTCTGTGTTTGGGTTTCTTCTCATTCCAACTTCACCAATAACATGAAAATATCGCACTCATATATTATATATACATTTTTGCTCCATCTGCAGCCTGCAGCAGTCTCTGTTTAACCCAAAACTAATACATCATTCAATATATTTGATAATGCAAGTCTGCCACACTAGGAGTAACCCAAAACAAATGAAGTTATCAGAGCATTCAGGGAAATGGGTGAATCCATGTTTACTGCATGACCTGTGTCCTTGATTATCTCCACCTTTGATTTTGGCCCCAACTGCCTGTAGATTGAAAAGAAAACATTAACAATAGGTTCAGATTGGTTTCAAATCCTGATTAAATTTGATCATGAAGATGAAATAATAAATTAGTTTAAAGTCACCTTTGCAACTGATAGGCCAAGTACACAGGGAAGACATCATCCTTGTCTCCCCAAATTATCAGTGTTTCCTTCACACAAAAATAACATTCTTTTACAAGACTGAAGAGAGAGATTAATTATGCTAAGTTTTTAAATTATGGCTAAGTTAACTACCTGAGTTAGAATGGGAAGGTCTATATCTGCTTTTTTCCTCAGCAAGTGCTCTGCCAGCTCTAATTTCTCCTTCCTGTGTTGTTTATAGGTCACCTGCATATGCAGCATGCAAACCTCTATACAATTAGGAATTGATATCTTACAAATCCAGTGCTATTAGAATTAGTGTGACGTATAAATGTTCACCGACCACACACATCAATTATTACGTTATTGACAATTTGACAATATAACATACTATTATGCCGTGATGGATACCAATACCATTGAAGAATAAATAACTATAATCTACCATATAAGGTGGTGTTCTAAAAATGGAGGAATTTTAGACTCACATTGATGAACCCATGAAGGAAAATATCAGGGACCCACTTAGAAGGGCCAGGTTTGTGCATTGTCAGATTCACCAAGAGCCTCAGATCATGAGCACTTTCAGGTACAAGGAGATTCAATGCATTGCTTCCAACCTTATTGATCTGCTCTCTTTTCTGCTCCTCTGTCATCCCAACCCCACAACTCACAACCACAACTTTCTCCACCAACTCTGGATACATCTCAGCCAACCAATATGCCACATACCCTCCATAACTTATAGAGTAAACAGCAAATCTCTCTACCCCTAATCTCTTCAACCCTTCTGCCACACATTTTGCTTGGAAAACCTCTGTCCTTTCTAGCCTGTTGGTGTAGGATTTGCCAAAGAACAATAGATCAGGTATGTACAGATAGAAACTTTGAGAAAGTGAACCCACTTGATGGATGAATTGCCACTTTGAATTGCCACCATACCCATGAAGCATTACAAGAGCAGGCTTATTAGACCTCCTAGAATTTGCAACCCAAAAGTTCATTGTGGTTTGGTCATCTAATTCTTATGTTTGTTTTTTTCTCGCTTTTTGGGGGGAGTAAATTATTTACTTTCCAGAAAAAGTGACGGAGGTTGTTAGAGAGTACAAATAGAGTTTTCTTATTGAATTTTTATGTTCTCTTTTTTTAGACTCTCTTTAGATTTTTTTTAAGAGATGTGTCGTTACCCCGAAAGACAATTGGGAATCATATAAAACTGAAGATACCTCAACTAAGCTAATCACTTTTTTCTACGTAGTGACGCAAAAGCTGGCACTTTTCACACATTAAGTACATTCCTGCAAAAGTGACGGAGGTTGTTAGAGAGTACAAATAGAGTTTTCTTATTAAATTTTTATGTTCTCTTTTTTTAGACTCTCTTTAGATTTTTTTTAAGAGATGTGTCGTTACCCCGAAAGACAATTGGGAATCATATAAAACTGAAGATACCTCAACTAAGCTAATCACTTTTTTCTACTTAGTGACGCAAAAGCTGGCACTTTTCACACTAATTAAAAAGCATGTGTGACATATGGGCCCAAAAGAGTTGAGCCATTAAAGAATAGCACAACCAATAAGGTGCAGTAGGAATCTACAGGATCAGGGCATGGGAAAGCATCACTTTGTCTTCAAGATGGGCACTGACTTCCAAAAATATAAAATTCACAATCAGAAATGGACGTTATTGTCATAGATTTTAAAGAACTACATGTGCATATAAAAAAAATGCCTTTAAAATGTAGTGCACACAAGGCAACAAAATAAGATGCCAACTAGAAATATGCAAGTAGATGGCAAAACATCGTAACAGACATGGAGGATTAAATTAGGCAAGATCTTGGGATAAGCCCAATTCATTATCTATACTTGGCTTCAAATCTAAATAAACTTAAAGTAGAGTAGGGTATTGCACATTTCAACAGTTAATTAATTTGATTCAACATTCTACAACTCGAGTAGGGTATTGCACATTTCAAAAACCCAAAATAGAAAAAAGCTCCAATGGCCAAAGCATTCAAGACCCTTTTCTGTTAGAATAACCCCTTTTCTGTTCAAAATAGCCCATTTACAATAAAATTCTTGCAGATGGGGCTACCTCAGCTGATATTGTATTCTATTTTTGCTCATTGATACTTTACCTTTGCTTTGCCTGTGGAAGAGAAATCTAGATGTTAAGAAGAACAGCTCGTTTCCCAAAATAATGAACCACAGCTAGCATTTGCTTATTGTCATGTATGAACACACACTAAAAAAACACATCAAAAATACCTTACTTCCAAAGCTTCCAATCTTCTTTAACCTTTACCATCACTTTTAAGCCCATCCCACCATTATTTTCATAATTTAGTCTCCTCATCTTTCTCCTTTTTGCACTTTTTGGACGGCTGTCTATCACTTTTGTCATCCAAATACAATCATTCCAACCTAGATTCCTTAACCATGTCCTCCTTCTTGCTCTCTGTATTTATAAATCTCCAACCACATCTGTGTTTATATATAACTCATCATCAAGTTGGTTTTTCTCCAAGAAAAAGAAAAACCAAGCTTGAGTTTTTACTATTGAGCCCACCAATGGCTGCTACTAGCTATGCATACACAAGCCATAGCTCATCTCAAAGATCAACAGCCATGGTGCTGGCTCTAGTATCTGCAATTGTACTTTCACCATTATATGTGACAAACAGAAAAACTGATGCAAGATATTATGAGACAAAATGGAGCTCTGGGTTTGTCCTTCCCATGGTTCTTGCTGGACTTATCATTGCTATTAAAACCACTTCTTCATCAAGTTCATCTTCATCATCTCAAGGAGATTCTTTTGTTCCTTCTCCTGAACCTTCATGGGTGCTAAGAATTGGGAGCTCAAGCTGGGGGCTTGCTGGGGTTTTAGTATTGCTGATGCTTGTGCTTTCATGGCAAGGTTCTGTTCATGAATTCTTGTGGAGATAGAGAGAGAAAAATTAAGTCCAATTCTATCTGTTGTTTTCACTTTAATGGATTGTACTGGAAAGTTATATTTTATATCAAATAATGCAAGTGGTATTAGTTAATGGAGATTTTTCTGCTTCATTCAAAATGCGGTATTGCAATTCCCTGTGAAAAAAGTGCACAAACTGAATAATTAGCTGCAGTTATACTTCTAATACTTTTAGCTCAATAAATTTGTACCTCAACGATGTCTTCAATTTTCTTTCTCCAATGCGAGAAATTTTTATATGTTCTGGATACACTATTTACTCGGTATACGCTCTAATACCGCTTTTGAAATCATTTTTATGTATAACTAGCCTCTTCACATGCGCTTCCGCGCATACGAGAGGTTTTTTTTATTTTTATTTTAAATTTTGAATTAATTATGGGCATTTTCTGGTATTTTGAATGTTTCATCATTCTCTGCATTTTGCTTTATATATATATATATATATATTAAAAAAATTATAAATAAAACCCAAAACCATACAAAGTTCAAATTGTTTGAAATTGTAAAACTAAATTAAAATACAAGGGTATATTCCACTGCCCCCAAACAAAAATAAATTATAAAATATTTATATAAAAAAATTGAAGTTGGGCCACATTCGTACTTTGAATGGAGGAAATGCTAAGCCCAATAAGTATTAATACTCTTCCATTGTCCCACCCAAACTCTCTCTCTCTTTCTCTCTCCCCATTTCCTCTCTCTTCTCCCGCGCACCCATCAGCAAAGCCCTAGTTTCAGTTTTATTCACTCGTCACTGTGTCTCAAGCAAATCTCAAGTCACAGAAGCCTCACTATCTCTAATTTGACGGCCATACAAAATCAGGTGAGCTACCTACTCTCGTTCCCTGCTGATTGTGCCTCTCTCTCCATTTTGAAATCCTTTGATTTTGGTAAATTTTATTTTGGATTTAGTTATTAGGACTTCCACTGAAGAAATTTGACATAAAATCCAGTACACCAATAGATAAATTCTGTTTTTTCACCGAGCAGAATGGTTTTTGTGTTCTGGAAATAATCATATGATATAGGTTTGAAAACTTTCTCTCGTTCGATGGACACAATTGTAATATAAAATTCAACCTTTGCAAATTTGTGGAGTTACTGATGTGAAAATTTCCAATAAGCAGGGAAGATTGATTTGCTCCGCGAACCAAAATTTGGTGCTTTTTTTTTAATGGAACTCTTTTTGTATCTTGATAAAATTGACTCTGGTTGTGTTTCCTTTTCATTTTTGGTGCTACAATATTTAACTTGCAGTGGTAGTAGCCTCTTTCATTGTTCTATTTTCTGTTCACTGCTTTTTTGCCTCAAAGTTTTGTATATTCATCAATTACTGCCTCAAATTTGTGCTAGTTTGCTGTTCTAATTGTGTTATTTTGCTCCTCGAAATATGTATTTCTGATACTGCTCTATGTCCAGGCTATTCTTGCTACAGTTTCTATTGTCCTTGGAGTAACAGAGCTGTGTAGCTTGCTGGTTGTCCAGATTGTTGAAAGAAAAAGAAGTGAAGTAGTTTGGAGGTTTAGCCCATCCCAACTGCTCTGGCCCTGCCTAGCAGAAGTACCCGGAACCAGAAAAATGGCAGGGGAAGATGAGGACTTGCCCAGAGATGCAAAGATTGTGAAAACGCTGTTAAAATCAATGGGTGTGGAGGAATATGAGCCTCGTGTTATCCACCAATTCTTGGAGCTGTGGTATCGATATGTGGTCGATGTGCTCACTGATGCACAGGTCTACTCAGAACATGCTGGTAAGCCCGCAATTGATTGTGACGATGTCAAGCTTGCTATACAGTCCAAGGTTAATTTCAGCTTCTCACAGCCCCCTCCAAGAGAGGTAATATATTTCACTCCCTTTCATTTATTCTGGTAAATTTGAGTTCATGTAACAAAATTGTATTACACTACACATCAAAAGATGTACCCTTTTCGTTATGAAATCAATCAGCTTATGTGTATTATTCGGCCATTATCAGGTGCTACTGGAGTTGGCTAGAAACAGGAACAAAATCCCATTACCAAAATCAATTGCAGGGCCTGGTGTGGCATTGCCACCTGAACAGGACACATTGATCAGCCCAAACTATCAACTGGCAATCCCAAAGAAACAATCTGCTCAAGCAGTGGAAGAAATGGAGGAAGATGAGGAACCTGCTTAACCCAATCCGCCCCAGGAACAGAAGCCCTCTGATCTGCCTCAGGGTACTCCCCAAAGGGTATCCTTTCCCCTTGCTAAACGCACCAAGTGAGAGATTACATGGTACATCAATCAGCCTGAGGGATTGTAGTCCAGAGATGTGAGATGAGACAGTTGTTCACTTACTAGAGATTCTGACTCGTATTCGATCTGTATACATGTAAAAGAATGTTCTGTTTAAATATTATGTTTACTTCTGCAGTCCTGTTCCTTCACAATTATTTGAATGCGTACGCCTTATGGTCATTCGTAGTTTTTTGAATGATTAATTGATTATGCGAAGAGAGCATGAAGCTTTTGTTTTTCCCCCCTTACTACAAATCAGGCTCAAGAAAACTTATAATGATGATCATCATGAAAGATTTTCTACGTTTTCTCCATCAGTTTCTAATACCAATTAGCCAATATGGTGAGAGATGTGAAAATTTGCCTTAACAAGATAAAACCGAAGGATGTAAAAAGCACGTTGCCAAGTTTCAGTCGTCCAACAATATACAGCAACTTTTTAGAAGCATGCATTAAGCATAATGTAACCAATCAGATTGGAAAGGAGTGTCATGAAAGATATATTGCATTCAATCTGAGAACTTTCAAGATAAACCGTTTTAACAACTTGTTGAATTCGGTTAGTCATCAAATAACAGAACCATGTCACTGTTCTTTACAACTGCTTTTTTGATTTATATACAAGAATGACTTAAGTGTCACTAGATAACCATAAATGAGAGACAATCGAGCAGGGGTCAACTTCTCCAACCCACCATACTACTAGCAGCAGGACCTGTACTTGATACACTCATGCCCCGGTCATACATGCGCTGAATCTCTTCTCTGTACTCTGTCAAAGACTTATCAGGAATTGCTGGAGTCAGCTCCACCACATCCCCCATCTGCAGCTTGCATGTAGGATCACTCACTGCCGCATGGTTCAGCCTAGGCCTCAGTTCTTCCTTCAGCGGGAACCCGTATGGTGTCCATCTCAAGCTCCCTCGCCCGGTTCTTTCCAGCAGATCCATAATTGTGGAGTTTGTAGGAAACTCTTGAACAGACATCTGCATAATTAGAACAAACACGGTCAGATGCATGGTTAATAAGTACTTGTTATACATTTATCAAAAAA